GTGGAGGATCACACCATAAAATTGTTACTTTTAGCTCTAGAATCTTCCGAGAGAGTCAGCGCAGGTGCAGACAATACCCATATGTGTGCATTCACAGAGGACCACTCAAAGAACTATGGTTACAGGTAAGTAACCTCTTTTTATTCACAGATGTTTCATTTTTGATTAAGGTACTTTTATATTTCCATACGAGTCAACCATTCGTTCTGCCAACATTCTTTCCATCTCCAACATCTAGTCTGGGGAAAACTCTTCATACTTCAGATGTTAAACATGTCCTTGCTGTCTATATAGATAGAATATGCTCTTTCAAAAGAGCTAATAAACTATTTGTTTGTTACCAAGGGAATTAAAAAAAAAGTGGCCAAGTGTCACAGAGCCTTTCTAAGGGGGTCATGAAGATTATTTCACTATCATACAAACTGTCTGAATGCCCCTTGCCAACCTCTCTGAAGAGACATTCCACATGAGTAGTGCAACAGCCTTTTTAAAGGGAGGTTGTTTGCAAGGCTGCTGTGTGGTTGCAACCCATGATCCTTGTGAATCATTATAGGCTAGATGATAGAGATAAACTGGATTCATTGTTCAGTTGTGGGGTGGTGTCTTATATGCTGGGGTGACATCTCAGCAACTGGTGAGTGAGCTACCCATGTGCGTGAATCACGGTGACATCTCAGCAACTGGTGAGTGAGCTTAGGAGTTACCCATGTGCGTGAATCAGAGAGACCACAAAAAAGGACAGGATACTTACCTGTAACTGTGATTTTTCCGAATGGTCATCTGTGAATTCACACAACCCAGTCAATCTCCACTCTCATGCTATTCGCAAGGTAGAGGAAGCTGAGGAGCAACTGTTGGATGGATAAGTGCATCAGTTGGGGAGCAAAGGAATGCTCTAGAATGTGGCTGAAAGTAGAATGTCTACGCAGGCCAAGAAGTGTTCGTGTACATGAATTCTCAGATGACCACTCAATAAATCATGATTACAAGTGAGTAACCTGGCAGTGGCCAGGAATATATTTTACACAATAGTACCTGATCCTTGATTTACACATGCCTTATTTACGTCCCACATTGGTCACTGTAACAACCTCTGCATGAGGCTGCCTTTGAAGATACTTCAGAACTTTAGCTGAATACACAGTAGCCATACTGCTAACTGGTACCAGTTATAGAGAACTGGCACCAATTAGGAACTCCCCTATTACAGCAGCTCCACCGGCAACCAGTCCATTTCTGGGCCCAGTTCAAAGCGCTAATTATGACATATAAAACCTATATGGCTTGGGTCCAAGCTATCTAAAGGACCATATCTCCCCATATGAACCTTTCTGACTCCTAAGATCTTCGGAGGAGGCCCTTCTCTTGGTCCCATTGCCGTCAGAGTTGCATTTCACGTGGACACAAGGGAGGGCCTTCTCTGTGGCTGCTCCCTAGCTGTGGAAGGCTCTTCATAGAAAGGTTAGGTTAGCCCCCTCCCTCTTGTCATTTTGGTAGCAGTTAAAGACCTGCCTTTTTAGACAGGCTTTTAATAACTATATTAGGCAAGATGGAGTCTCCTGGATGCTGTATCTTTTAAGTGTGTCTTTAAAAGATTTTAAATGTTTAAAATGACAAATTTTAATTCCTATTATATTTTTGTTTTTTAACTTTGTAATTTATTGGGGTTTTCGTCCAGCGTAATCATTTGTGACTTACCAGAAGGAAAGTGGCATTGGGGGGAAGCAAACAAGCAAACAAACAAATAGAAGGACCACAGAGGTGTAGTGGGATAATCATCCTATGAGGGCAGTGCCCTTGGCTCCTTAAGCTTGGTGTTTCCAGATAACAGTGAGCTTTTCCTATTAACCATGCACATCTTTTCCTGGTGGGTTTTGTTCTTGAAAAATTCAGCAGTGTATTGAACCATTTTAATAACGGTGAGATCAAATATCATGAGTTTTCTGTATGTACTCCCTTTGGCTTGAGCATGCATCTTCTCTCTAAAGAAATCCAGTGGAAAAAATTGACTTTTGACAAATGATTTAGCTTTATTAAATGTGACTGAAACACCCACAAGATCTCAGAACTTTCTAAAGTGGTGCAGTAGGTCATGAAACACCCTCCCACCCTCTCTTAAAGCTATGGCTAAGACCTCTGATGTAGCCTGGTGATGCACATTATTGAATAAAACTGGGAGGCATGTACAGTATATCAGTATACTCAGCTGGAGATCTGATCCCTTTGGGTGGTTGTAGCCACACCTTATTGCTGAGACTGGTTCTATCGAGATTGCAGGAGAATGTGTAGAGAATATGTGAAGCAGAGTTATAACAACTTGAGCGGCTGCATCAAAAGATTTTTCAGCCAGGCTGGACTTTTAACACCATAATGCGCAGCCCAGTGTGATGTGATCTGCTGTAAGAGAATTATACTGCAACATCTGGGTCATTTATATTTAGGAGCTGGATTTTGTGATTTAGTTTTCGGCTGATGAAAATGCTCTAGAGGGCGAGAACAGGGGGGAGGCAGGAGATGCTGGTTGAAGAGCAAGTGTTTTGTCATGTGAGAGCTGCAGTAACTGAGGAAAAGGCGCTCCAGTCACTGCTTTCTCAGGGGAGCTCTCCGTTTTTATGAGTCTGAAAAAATATGCTGTAACTCGTGCCGCTGTTGCAGTTTTCTTCGGCAGGAATGGAATGAAAACGCAAAGTCACAATCGCTGTTAAGCTGGACAGGAAATTAACCTACAGGCCCTTTTTTTCTCCCTCTTCTGTTAGATCACTACCCACTTCAGGGAAGCCTGATGTGCCCTGTTCTCTGTACATGAAGGAGCTGCAAGGCTTCATCGCAAGAGTCATGAATGATTACTTCAGGCACTTCGAGTGTTATGACTTTGTCTATGAGAGCACAGAAGCCATCGCTCAGAGAGCAATTGAAATCTTTATTCGCAATGCCAGCCTCCTAAGGCCCCTTGGCGAAGGCGGGAAAATGCGGCTTGCTGCTGACTTTGCACAGGTAGGCGAAAGAAGAGCGGCCCAGATGTTGTCCCCTGACATATGCTGGACTATTCAGTTTGCTTCAGTTGTCCTAGACATTGCCTTGAAATATCTGCATTCTGTATCTACAAAAACAGGGCCAGGTTTTATAACTATGGTAGATGAAGCAGTATTTCAGCTGCCTTTGTTGAAGTATGAACACAAGATAGCCTGGGGCTGTCTTTATTATATTCTTTATTATGGCAGTTGCAGACTTTAAATGGCCTCTGTTGTGAGTTCTTTCCATAGAAATCTATACAACATGCATGGCGATTGCAGAGATAAATGTGGCCAGTCTGCAGACCCATAATCCCCCAGCCAACATGGGGAGTGCCAGGAGTTCTGGGAATTGTAGTGCAGAGAAAGTAGCTTCTCTGATCTCTCCCAAATTGTTAGGACTTCTTATCATGAGGCGGACCCATTTTTGTGTGTGCATTTAGGCTGTGCTGTGATAGGTTCTAGGCAGTTGTATCTGGGGTAGGTTTTCATATATTACAAAAAAAAAAACACAGCATTCTGAAAGCATGTTATAATGGTAATGCTGTAGTCCTTTTTTATCTTTCTAGACACATCTCTGCATTATTCTCACTGTCTTATCTAAAAATGTAATGACACCATCTTATCTCTCTGTGAAGGGTATGCTATCTCCCCACTGTGTTTACTGTAGCTGTTACATGCTCGCTAGAATGTGAATTAGGCCTCTCTGCTCTTATGTCTTGGAAGGGCAATTTTTAACTAAGCTTGCTAATAGCTAGTTTTGAATATTCATTGTCCCTCTCACCTCTTTATTTTTTGTTGTTGTTTAGTTTTGTTTTTTCCATTAAGTTGTTTTTTATTTATAATGGCCCTAATAGTGTTTTAGAGGTGTGTAAGGTGTTCAAGGAGTGTTTTACCAGTGTTACCATCCTCCCCCTGGAACTTTCCATAGCCAGCAGGGATTTGAACGCAAGCCTCCTGAGTACCAGTCCAGTACTCTATCCGCTATGCTATACTGTCTTGGTGCTTTGTTTTATTTCTTCCATTTCCTAGTGGTTTTTCTTTTCTGGCAGGGATTTTTTCCTTATCTTTCTGGTCACATCTCTATTTTGTTTTGTTTGAGAACAAAAACTAGATGGAGCAGTCTTTGTACACCATGGGAAAGAGCCACGTTGATAAGCCTCTTCTGTTCTTGGAGTGACAGCAAAGCCACTTTCACATCTTCATATCATCTGGCTAGCTTACTCTCCAGTGATCTAGAGAACTGAAATTTAGAACACATATATTCAAAAGATAACCCAGTAAACAAATCCAGTGCATCAATACTCTTCAAAGCCTAAATAAGAACAAGAACACTAACCTTACAATGGCTGTATCCCAAGGAACCATAGCAGCCTGGCTTAAATATGGGATGGTGGTATGGGGGTGTGGGCTTTTCACCTTTTCCTCAAAAGGCAAAGAGGAGAAGAAGAGAAATACTTTCAAGAAATACTTGAAAGTGATCAAAGTCCTCTTTGCTTCCAACTAGAGATGGGAGTTAACGTCCACTCATGCGTCTGCCACCACTGGCCCCGTTGTTCCTTCCAATCGCTCTGGAGCACCCAGTCAGCTAGCCGCTCCTGGCAGAAGGAGGGAAGACGAGTCTCCCTGCAAGGCTAACAAGTGGCTAGCCGAGCAGTGCTCCGGAGTGATTGAAAGGAAGAGTGGGATTGGTGGCAGTGGCGGACACATAAGTGGATGGTCTGACCCCAGGGGCTGGACCCTTGTTAACTCCAGCTGTGCAGGGGTATTTATATACGAATATGAATATCCCCCATCTCTACTCCCAACCCTTCCAAGTGTATGATCCACTAGTGCTGATAGTACTGTAGGATGTGGTGGCAGGGTTGTATACTCACAATGATTAAAGTACAAGTGGTGCCTTGACTTACGAACGCCCTGACCTATGAACAAATTGACTTACGAACAGCTCCAGCCACAAAATTTTGCTTTGACTTGCAGCCGGAGCTTTGACCTAAGAACAAAAAAAGGCAGGGGAAAAGGGCGGGAAGTTAAAAAAAAACTAACCGTGGGTGGCGAAGAGGCTGCTTCTTTGTAGCTCTTTCGCCCCAACGGTTAGGGAAAGGGATGTGGCGGCAGTGGCTCCTGGCTGGACTTCCATCCAGATCCCAGCCCGGACAGCTGACCATGGCTGGGAGGCTTGAGAGGAGGCTTTGTGGGGAAGTAAGTGTGCTACTTTTTACTGTTTTGGGTGGCTTTTGCAGGGTGGGATTGGGCTGGTGGGGTTATGTTTGTGTTTTGTTTTGTTTTTTGCAGCCCCAGGGGCTTGCAGATTTTTATTTTTATTGGGGGGGGGGGATTTTTTTTCTTCAGCCGGAATGGATTAATGGGTTTTCAGTGCATTTCTGTGGGAAATGGGGCTTTGACTTACAAACATTTTGACTTACGAATGCCATTCCAATATTGATTAAATTCGTAAGTCAAGGCACCCCTGTACCTCCCTGTCATGTAGATATAAAAGTCTGTGAGATTGACATGTAACCATCATGCTACAGGTATTTATGGAGAACTGGGCTTGACAAATACTTGAAAGGTGAAAATAATCACTTGTGCTGAACTCATGGCTCAGTTTTTGCTTTTCAGAGCTGGCCTGAAAAAAATTTCTTAAGTCAGTGTGGTACAATTGGATGACATTTTCCTGACATTTACACATACTACGAGGCACCAGATAAGAACTTTATGACCTCCTCATTATGAAGAACTTTGTTTCTGTATAAGAAAGCCAAGTGTATGAAAGTTACAGTAATTTGCAGTATTTTAGGTTGTGTTAACTTGGGAGTCCTATTTTGCCCTTTAAATGTTATGTAGCTCTATATGATCAAGGGACCGAAATGTGAGTATGGTGGCATCAGATGGAGAAAAGGCCAAAGCTTTTTTCAGTATCTGGCCCAGAAATATGCTCTGAAAAGAAAAGAAAAAAAAACCTCTTAAAAGACAAATGTTCTGAGCTTAGTGAAGAAGAAAAAATTACACATTAACTTACAAAAATAATTAGGTTTAGTGTTGTCTGGTATAAAAATAGGTCTTCCTTCATCAAAACACCAGTGATTGACCCAGGGCACTGAGAAAAATTATATTTTTCTTTGGGGTAAAATAAAATAGAGACATTCTGACATGTGTCTTGACCTGTGATGAGATGAATAAGCGATAGGTTCTTCGGGCTTTTTGTTTCTCTTCAGATGTGCAGTTGGGCAGTAAAAGCAAGTCTGAGTATTAGATCTAGTTAACTGTAATCATCCGTGGCTTGGTTCCATGATAACCCTGGAATGCAGCCTCTCCCCACCTGTTGCCTTCAAGATGTTTACAAACTAAGTGCAAAGTGTTCTTATACGGACATAAATAGCTTAGAACCTGAATATCAGGTGAAACACTTCCTCTCTTGTGGGGATGCCCTTCTGACAGGACTTCATACCTACACTAGCTAGGGATCCAGCTTTGGTGCACAATCCCTCCCATGGAGGGAAGTGTTTTCATTCTCCCCTTATCCATTCATAGACTTCTTCTCTTCCCTTGTTTACCCACTTGGTTGGCCTTTGGCCCTGCCCCACGGCTCTTCCTCTTTCCCTCTGCTGTTTTTTCTTTCTTTCCACTTTTCCATGATGGACTTCATCCTCCTTCCCTTCCAGTGCTGCTTCAGACTTTCCCTTTGCTCATTCTTCTCTCTCTTCTCAAGTTAGGAGAAAGGAGATTTCACCTCAGCACCAGGGAGAACATCTTGATGGTTAAGAGCTGTTTGACCCAGGGAGGGGGTAGGGGTCCCTACCCTTCTTCATCAGAAGACAAGTGGTTTGATGACCCCTTCTCGGGGATGCTTAATCTGTACATTTTCTACTTCGGCAGGGATTTAGGCTCAGTGATGGTTGGGGTCCCTTCTCTACCATTCTCAGATTCTGTAATATTTAACAAGCAGCAAAGCTGTCTCTTTATCTTTCTGTTTCTCTCTTTTTCTAAACTTCTGAAGAGGTCAGGGCCCCTGGAGAGCAGAAACAGCAGTTACAGCAGTTACACCAACATGTTGTTTTTCTGGTTTGCCCTGTCACCCATCTGGATTTGCCTTGGGCCCTCTGGTGAAATTAATATGCGAAGCATCACACTAGCTGGGGGCGGGGAGAGGGGGCTTGTTAAGGAAATCTTCCTCCTGGTGACTGAAAAGGATACAACTGACTGCAAATAGATTTCAATGAACTGAGTGTAACTAACTGAAAATCAAAACTATCCAAGAATATAACAGCCTTAAGAATACAACATGTTAAGTTTCTTGGCCTTGAGGTCTTAGAACTATGGCAGAGAAAACACATATTCTTTCTTTCCTCTTTTGTAGTGTAGATAGATCCTATTGTTTTATTGTGCCTTATTAGTACAGTGAGTTAATACATTTTATAAACAAATACATAATAAACTAAATAGGGTCGTGTCCTTCAAATTCCATGTTTAACTTTCTAATGAACAAATTGACTTGCATATCATGTCAGAAGTGCCTTGACTTTTGAAAAGCAAACTTTTTGCCACCTCATCCTGTGATTTCTCCATGCTCTGTGCTGCAGTAGTCTATTGGGCACCTTGACAGTTGCCAAGTGAGTGGACTAGGAAAGCAGGGCTACTCTGTGCAGTTAGGAAAAATAATCTTTTAAAAATTCATTTAGCCTCTCTATACAGACTGACTGGTGAGGAGACAGGTGCAACTCTTCAGTGTGGGTTCCATGTTTTACATTGTTCCCTTCTTCGGATTCGCTAGTCTGAATGATATTTTGATATTTTCTCTTTATCTCTTCTGCGTTCTTTGCTACTGTTTTTTAAATCATTGTTCTGACTACTCTCATCCTTCAGTGCAAAAGCCTAGCTTCAAAAGTAGTATTTTGATGCTGTCAGAATTGATTACATTAATTTGCACTTCACTTCTGATGTATAAAAAGCTTGATTTTTTCTTAAATTACAGTTGTAGCAAAGAGAAGTTAATTTTCTTATCTTAATATACAGTGGTGCCTCGCTTAGCGATGTTAATTGGTTCCAAAAAAACATCGCTATGGGAAAACATCGCTATGGGAAACACCATTTCCCATAGGAATGCATTGAAAACCGGATAATCTGTTCCAATGGGAACGGATTACCGTCCTTAAGTGAAAATCGCCATAGGAAACATCGCTAAGCGAAACACAGTTCCCCCATTGGAATGCATCGAATAGGTTTCAATGCATTTCAATGGTTTTGACAGGTCCGTTTTCGCTATTTTCGCTAGTTTAAAATGCTTGGAATTGTTAGTGCATCCTGTAAAACCTTTGCAAACTTAATTTGCCTTTGTTCTGAGTTTTCTTCAATTTTTGGTGAATTTCCGCCCCCCATTGGAATGCATTGAACTGTAGGTTTGACAGCTAAATGGACATCGCTAAGCGAAACAGGGGGACCTAAACTGTCATCGCTAAGCGAAGCAAGGTCCCGAACATTGCTATGCGAAATTTCCCCATTGGAAACATCGTTAAACGGAGCGCAAGATCGCTCCAAAAACCTCATCGCTAAGCGAATGCATCTTTGAACGAGGCAATCGCTAAGCAAGGCACCACTGTATATTGGGACTGAGAATTTTCTTATCAAGGCTTATATAAGGTTACTTCATAAAGGGCATGATGGAGCTTATATTGAAACTAGCTTATGGTTACACTACTTATAACACTTACACTTAGAAAGAGGGAGAACATGTGATACCATAACCCTGTGTCTAGTAGAAAACCATCAAGTTGCCATGCTCGATCCTTGCAATTTTTGAACAGTAACCTTTTGGCCTGTTGTTACCATATGATCACAGCCTCTTTGACTCCGTGTTAATAACCATGTTAAGACGTTTACCCCTTTATTTCTTCCTGTTCTTTTGGCAGTTTCTCTTTTCCTGGCTGTACTAATAAGCTGAATCTAAGAGAGCCATGTGAATTTTATTTGAGTTTGTCTAGATCTCCATCACCTTGTTTTCCTCCTGATCCAGGACTTGGATGTTGAGATAAATGTGCACACCTTGCTTCTGGCAATCTTGAACAATGTGGCCAACTATCATGCTGAATGCCTTTACATTTCCACGTGAAATAACTGCCATCTGCTGTATGGTGTTTGTACAGGAAAGGCTTGAAGGAAAATCTGACTATGACATCAATTAAGGACCACTTGTGTATGCTATGGCCCCTGTGCAAGGGCATTAGAAAAAGGACCCTAAAAGTGGAAGAGCCTCTGTAGTTAGAGCATGGTTTGCTAGACATTTTGGAATTACTTTAGGGGAGATGTTTTGATGCTGTTGTTGTTCACCTCAGAACCGATCACAGTGGTGCCTTGACTTACGAACTTAATCCGTCCCTGACCTTTTACCTTCTAGAGCCAGTAATTTAAACCTTAATTTCATAGAATTATGGAGTTAGAAGAAGGGGCCATCAGACTTTCCTTCCTGTCCAATAAAAGAGTTGTCATTAAAATAAAAGCTGGGTTACCTGTGATTGAGATCATTATCATTAGAATGACAGCAATATACCTCTTGTTATGAAACAATCAGTTATAGAAGGAGGCCAGCAAAGAACAAAGGAATTCATCATCTTCTTTAAGCTAAATAGGCCTGCTCCCTGCCAAACATCCACTATATCAATATGATAGCTTATTAGATAGTTGATTGTCCTTGGAGGGTGAACACGTGCCATTTATTATTTGGCAGGAAATAGTTGTCTTTTACTGTCACTTCTGAATCCTCCACACGGGACTAATTGATGCACATTCTAACAGCGTGAGCCAGATATTCTGCTGGCTCTGGTGCCAGCTGTTGAAGTTCAGTAGCTGAAGCTCTGTTCTTTAGTTTGGCCCAGGACTTTGAATCTTGGACTGACAAAATACAGTTCTTTCCTTCTTATAGATGGAGTTAGCAGTGGCTCCCCTCTGTAGGCGGGTGTCTGATCTGGGCAAGTCCTATAGACTCTTACGATCGTTTAGGTAAGTGATATTCACAGTGTTGCTAACAGCTGGCAGCCTGATTTACATTTTTTTCATTAAATGAAGTTGCCAACTTCTTGTTTGTTTGGGAATTTAATTAAAACCTTCTGGCAGCATCACATGTAAATTACCAACAAATTAGTGTCGCACTTTTTTTCCTCTTTAGCATTTTATTCAGAGTGTGATTCTGAGTTGGAGAATTTTGTCATGCAAATGTCAGCTAAATTGTACCTTTTTGCTTTTGTTTTCGATCTCTGTTCTTACAATAATGAGATATGTAGTCACACTGGTGTTTTCCTCTCTGAAAATAGAGAATTTAAGATGCAGTGCTAGGAGATTGTTTAATTAAAATAATAAGCTGTTACTACAAACAATCACCTACAAAATTCAGTAATGAAGAACATGAAGATTTATCAAGCAAAGCACCAAACAACTGCATAGGGAGGCACAGACTTTGTTTTTCAGGTGCTGAATTTCCCAAATAGAATCCTGTTCTTTGAGTTCTGCCTCTGTCTGCTTTTGAATCTCAGCAATTCCAAATAAACTCTGTGGAACCGAGAGAACAACCTGTTTTAGGTTGTATCTTTATAGAGGGGCAAATCTTTGTCGTTAGCCACCTAGAGTGGTCTTAGCCGACTAGATAGGCGGGATATAAATAAAATAAATAAATAAATAAATCTCCTTCCACCAAGGCTCATGGGAACAGGAGAGAGATGTAATGGTCATTCCAGTTGTGTTTGAGCCTTTACATTTTACATTTTGCCATATCACTGAATGGTAGGGGCACTTATTTTGGAAAGGACAGTTCTGTACTTAAAAGGTATCTGCTTCAAAGCCTGCCCAGACCAAGGCTGTTTCGAAAATACAGAACTAGGGAAAAAAAGAGAGTGCAAGAGAGAGCAGGGGTCTTGAACTCTCCATCAGCAATTAGCCTCTGGGCAACAGGCCAAGCAAGTGTATCGATTGTCTAGCGGTAGTAATATGCACTTTATTTTTATTAATTTGCAGTAATTAATTCTCAAATTACATTGACAAATATTGATTAGTATATGTGAACATTTTGCTGCTCTGTGCAGAAGGGGCTCCCATAATCAGTGCCTGTTATGCAGTCTCATGTGGAAAAAATAAACTGCTGAAAGTGAATACCCAGTCATTGCAAGAGCTAAATGTAGACCCTGCCTCTGAGAATGTGTGGCATTGCCTCTGTTAAAAGAAAGATGTAAACGCGTAATGTTCATTATGTGTCCTCCATCCACAGTGGCTGACATGGTGCTAGTAAACTATCCAAGAGCATGTTTTTCACTCCTTGGAGCAATATCATCTGACCTGTGCTTTTCCTTCCAATCAGACCAATGCTGTTCCAGACTAGTGAGCATATTGCCAATAGCCCAGCTGTGGGAGACATCATTCCATACAGTACTGTTATTCAGTTCTTATTTACCAGAGCTCCACCGGAATTGAAATCCCCATTCCAGGTAAGGAGCTTGTGCCTCTTCCCTGCCTAAAAGCTACACAAGAGCAAAACAAAACAAATAAACCTAGCTGTTTACCTCTAACAACCCTAACCAGTGCTATTCAAGGTGCAGGCTGCTGGTTTGGATTTTGTAAGATCGTAAGAGAAGGAGCCTGTGGCACTTTCACATTCTATACAGTGTCTGGCAGTAGAAGAGAAGCCATGTTTCTTAGCAGAATTTGCTCTCTAAGCATTCGCCACGGTTGGCTGTAACAAGGGTGACAGGAGCTGCAGGCCCACAACATCTACGGGGCCACCCTTTGCCCCCTATCTGAGCTAAAGATACAAATTTCCCTGTTGTTCAGACAGGCTTGGACATGTTAGTGCTAAAGTGTTAACATAAAATAGTCAAAGTGAATTCATTTGTTGATGTTGAGCTACCGGTATTTAAGAGTATGGAATCAATTCTTGCAGTCATCATTATTATTATTTTTTTAAACTCTGTTAAATAAATGGCTAGAAACTGCCAATCCACACTCAAACGACTGATTAAACGCAACAGGCCAAATGTGTGTGAAACATTAATGGCTGCTCAGAAGAATTAAATGGTGTTGGGGTTTAATAATTAAAATAACATTTTAAAATTATTGCTGAAACCTTTATGAATTAGGGTGATGCATTAATTTTTAACCAGTTCTTTCCAAGCTCTAATTCCATATTAATAGTTTATAAGCCAAAATGCAACAGCAAAAGGAATAACATATGAAGACAGTGGGAAAGATATAACTCTGTAATGACACCTTAAAGGTAGAAGTAGGATGGGGAGATTTTGGTCTTCCAGATGATTTCCAAGTCCTATTTTGGAACCTGCAGCCATCAAGGTAAATACAGAATTATTATGTGAGAGGTACTCCAAAACATTTGAAGGCCCAAAGTTTTTTACCCTCCATCTACAGTTAGCAGTAACCACATGTGGAGATTGTAGCCTAGAGGCTGCTGAGAGATGTGATATTACTATTTGTAGAGTAATACGAATATCCCGGACCCAGGTGGCCAGGATCCCTGGTCCCACCTCCCTGAACCAACCCATCCTCTTACAGGTTGTGGCACAGCACACGCAGCCGGTGTCTTGCTTGCCAGGCCAATCTCGGAAAAAGCCTGGCTGGCGCTGTTTCGCCTTCCTGCTCTTCTGGCCACTCCCACCAAGGGGACCTGATGACGAGTCTCCCCGCTCAGCTGCTTCATGGCCAGAAGAGCAGGAAGGCAGAGCAGCACCAGCCGGGCTTTGTCTAAGATTGGTGCAATGAGCAGGATGCTGGCTCTGTGTGCTGCACCACAGCCTTTAAGTGAATGAGTCATTTTAGGGAGGCAGGACTGGAAATCCCAGTCACCTGGGTCCAGGTTATTCATATTCATCTATGAATATGAATATCCCATCGATACCCTGCCCCATCTTCTTTCCACCAGGACATTGGTCCCGAAGTCAGTACATTTGACTGAATACGCTTACGGAATTCCCTCAAAGAGTTCCTGTATACCTGGATGACTGACTGCCTGGTGCAGGTGGAGCTTCCATGGGCACCCCACCCCTACTGTGATAGCCTCCACAGTTCCAGACTATAATATTTGAGTAGGGCTGTTAGCATGTACTAGACTCAATGACTATTGAGTGAAACAAGACAGGGTTTGTACATTTATAAGCAAATAGTTGCTGGCCAGTTAGTTTTATCCTCTGTATTTTTCTAGAACAGTTTCCTGAGCCAAATAAAAGGCTCTGAAGAAACAACTGTATTTAAAGTCCTGTGTTTTTAAGCACTGTAAACGGACTGCTGCTGATAATATGCTGCCTGACATTTTCTAAAGATTTCTACAATCCACAGATATTCCAATATACATCAGTCCTGGTGGTACGTTTTGTATAGCACAAGGAAATGGCAGGGATATAGTTAATGTATATATAAAACTTCAAGAAACAATTTTTGTCTTTATTGCCCATGAAAGAGAGCAGAGTGGACCATTGCCCGATATTCCCGATGGCTTGATGACCATCCATCTGAGAAAGACCGGCTCGTTTTAATACGGTGAGAATCATTTTATTTTATCTTTTCTGCTCATCAAGATATTCACTTACTCCATTTGTAAACCACAATCATTCTTGTCTACTATGTGTGGCTTATGCATCATGCTGTCCTCTGACATTTTAAACAAAAATTGTTGTAAATGTTATGGCTTACTGCAGACACTGCTTTTAGGGAATAAATGACTCTGGTCCAGCAGTGTGTTATTTTATTAGACTCTGATTTGATAAAACAGGAAGTTACTTTGCAAATTACATTGAACTCTCTTTCAGTAATTCTTTAGGTAATTCAAATGTTTCCTATACTCCTACTCCAAAAGTGTGAGTATTTTGTACTTTGCAGTGGATTCAACTACTGTACTTTGGTACTCAATTTATATCTTTTTTTAAGTAATGCATGTTTTTCATGGCTGTAATTCTATGAATATAAATACAGTGGTGCCCCACATGACGACGATAATCCGTCCCGGGAAAATCGCTGTTTAGCGAAATTGTTGTCATGCGAAAACCCTTTCCCCATTGAAATGCATTGAAACCCAGTTTAATGTGTTCCAATGGGGAAAATACCTCGTCGTCCAGCGAAGATCACCCATAGGGAAGCCATTTTGCGAGTACCGATAAGCTGCTAAAATGGCTGCCCTACGAAGCATGGGTCCAGAAAACACAGAGCAGCCATTTTGGGGAGTCGAAAAAAATCATTGTCTTGCGAACAAACGGTTTGTGAAGCACGGACCTAATCGACATCCAGCGGAATTCCCCCATAGGAATGACTGTTTTGCGAATCGCTATAGTGATCGCAAAAATCATTGTCATGCAGATTCGTCATTTAGCAGGGTTGTAGCGAGGTACCACTGTACTAGTAGAAACAGGTAAACTTATTTCCAGTTTCAGTTTACTTAGGATCAAGCGGCTTATCTGTTTTTCTGAAGTAAAAGCAAAAACAAAAAAAAAAGGAAGCATAGAGTGTTTTGTGTGTAAGCTTTGTGGAAAAGAACAAAAAACACCCTGGAAATCCTGACAATAGAGATGCTTCTTGCAAATGAGAAGGAATATCAAGGAATAAGAATTCAGTTTGTGCTGAATAAGTTGAAGCAGACGCCTGTTAATGTTAGAAGCCTCTAGTTTCCTCCATAATTTTATTGAGTCAAAAGCTGCCTTGAGATCTGTAAAGGCTACATGGAGTGAGGTTGCTTTATCAGAGGTATATTTTTAATAAAATATTGTAATGTCAAGCATTAGTCAATGGTAGATCGACCTTCCCTGAAGCCTGCCTGCTCTTCTGCAAGTATCTTAACCTGCTCTAGCCAATCTTTAAATTTCCCATATAAGTGCCTGGTATTTACTTTACAGATTGTGCTAAGGAGACTAATAGGCATGTAGTCTGCAGGATCATCTCTCTTTCCCTTCTTAAATATGGGGACTATGATAGCAAATCCCATGCTTACACATAGTGTTGCCAGATTTCTTACTGCTGCAATGGGCATTAGAAAAAGGACCCTAAACAACAACAACAAATGCTTAGTAGTTACATTAAAAGCATTTATATTTGACGCTGGGCAATGCATTTATTATATATGAAACAACCTTAAGAGTCTGATATTTATAATATTAATAAATCAGTGTCTCCTGGAAATAGTAAAGGGAGCCATATGAGCCCTCTGTCATAAGCAAATATCTAAGTTGAGTAGTCGTTTTATTGGATCACTAAAATATTACCAATAAGATGAACTTTCTAGTTTCCCAGAACCCTTCATCAGATGGAACTGGTATAAAACTTGGGATTAAGGTGCATATTGAGCCATGACACCAGACTAATCACTAAACAAATGGGACTAGAGATTTCACAGGAGACAGAGGTGCCAAAGGTACGGCCTTTTGCTGGTGTAAAAAATGGAGACTTTGCTTCAGATTTGTCTGCTCCAAGCCTGCAAAAAGAGGTTTGTGCCTCTACTTAAGGTATTTGGCAGATCTGTGGCTGGCAAGATGGGCGGCGGGGAAAGTGGTAGACTTTTGGCCACTGTGGAGAGGAAACTGCAAAATGATACACTGTATTTGACACCTTTGTTCCTGAAGCATTACCTTCTGCCTGGGAGCATTTAGTATAAAGGACAAACAGAAGCATTGGATGTTTCTGGTGTGCTTATTCAAGCCTGTGGCAAAGGTGTTTTTAAGAGTTTGCCCATTTGGGGAATGTGTAGGAGAGAAAGAAGCCAGCTTGGGATCCATTAATTGAGCCTCATGCCACACATCCTTTGGCAGACATTTTCTTCTAGTACAGGTGACACAAAAGCTTTGCTCATAGTCCTGTGTATCCAGGTATGGTTTGCATTATTTTTCTTGTGCTGACTGTGCATTCAGCGAGCTGAGACTTAACCAGAGAACTATTCAAGGAATAACTTGGCAAAAGCATCAATCTCATCATATTCAAAAAATTTTCATGGTGGGTTTCTCTGTTGCATCAAAAACACGTTCAGAATGTGGAATTTGTCACATTGTCATTGGTGGGTGAAGTAGAGTTTATAGAAACCATGGTGCTTTTCTTTGCACATTAGAATGTTTTCCAAAATGTTGCCTTGGAGGTTTAAATTCCTCCCATTTATTGCCACCTGGAATCTTGGGGTTGACTGTAGCTTCAGATTCTAATGATTTTCTTGTTTTTCCAAAGCCAGTTTATGAAATACTGGTTTGCAATGCTGCTTCAGGCAAAAATGTCTAAAGTCTCTACCTTAGATTTGATTTTTAAACTCATCAGAGTAGGAGCTAGCTGCTCTTGTGATTTTTAAAAGTTTTATGCAGATTGACGACACTGTAATGAAGAATCTACATTAAGCATGTAAATGCTCACTTTTCTCCTTCTTCTGCCCAAGGAAAAACAACCAGAGAATTTCTCTTCTTGTCCTGAAAGAGGAGGCAGGATATAATGGCTTCTCAACCAGAAAAGAGGAGGAGGAGATTTTCCCTCTCCCACAAATAAAAGCATACTATCCAAATGTAGATAATGTTCTAATGCTCGTTCCACCCCTTGGGCACATAATGCTTCTCAAGCAAGAACTGTGCTAACCAACCATATTAGAAAAGGACTCAGAGTTGCTGGTAAGGCATCGGGGTATATAAACTAAAGAGATCAAGCCAAGCAGTTGAGAGTGTCACACATTGTTCACAAAACACTTGGTTATTTGTTTGTTTTTTGTTTTTTGCCCACAAACTAATGATTGAGTAGGCTCTAATGCAGTTTGAAATCACATCTCTGAACCTATACTTGTCCATTTCAAACTGGGTTCTTGGCTGTCCTGTTTTCATATACTGTGGCTTTGTAATCATATGGATTAAATAAATGGAGGGCCAAACTGGTGTATTTTACATAGTGTCATGGCCTATTTAGTTTCCATGTTTTTTTTTCTCTGCTTCTGGTGCCTGACCTCAGTCTTTTTAAAAATGTATCTCCTTTGGCATGCTAATCCTTTGCTTCAGGAACAAAGTTGATAAGATTACAATAATCTCTTTAGAGCCGCATAGTACATAAGAAGTAAAAATGCCTCTATTCTCACTGTGCAACATCTAGAAAACCTCTGGCCTCAGTTGCAGCCAGTGTTTCCTGGAAGCTTGCAAGTTAAGCGTAATTTGGGTGTGAGGAGTTAGGAATTTATTTTGAGTCTACAAGCCCATACTGAGGCGTATCTAGAGAGATCCCTAAGTATGCAGCAATCAAGATCTTTGGGGTCGAGGCAGCCCTGTTTTATTTCTAACCTGATAGGCACCCGTTGATTATCAGAGGGAGCAAGTATGACCTGCAAGAAAATGTCAGACTATTTCTCCTCCAGCTTGTGGCTCCAGACAGCCTGGAACAGAAGCTTTGTAGTGCTCTTTAGGAGTGTGTTTGAGGAGCAGAAATGAGGTTATATAATGTTAAGATAATGCCAAACCTGAATATTTTATAGCTATATAGCAAGGAGAGTGCCATTCTGAAGATGTGAAAGAACAGGTGTTGAGTTTATTATGCCTTCAAGGTGCCATAAAGCTTTTGTTGTTTTCAAACAGTTCGCAAAATCATACAATGAGCGCCAATGTAAACTGGATCCAGGTCCTGGGAATGGTTAGTTTAAACCTACTTAAAAACCCCTTCCCTTTTGCCTTTGGGAGCCTTGGATCAGGAGAGGGGAGACATTAGTAGTTAAGAATTGCTGCTGGATCACTGCCAGCAGAATCCGTATCACCAGCAGCGACCCAGCAGTGAGTTTTTGACTATTTAAACCCTATGGAGCCTTTGAAGATGAAATGAGGGGATAAGAAACTTTAAATCAATTTAACTTAATTATTTCTGGGACCCACATACAATTTACGTTCATATAATTGCACCAGCAGGATTTTGCCCAGTATCCCATGATATATTTTTTTTAAGGCAATGTTTTTTAATTGCAATTTGTTCCATTTGGCTTTTACTGAACATGGTAGAGACTAACTACATTTCTATGTTGTAAAAAGGGAAAGAACTAATTGAGAGGCTTTTGAAAACTTAATTTTGAATTATGTTTTCACTTACACATAGCCTTATTTATTTGCCTTTTTCATCCTATGTGGATAAAGTTTCTGTGTGGATTTTTGGCTGTTTTTTTTTTTACACCATGGTGCAGTTCTTTATCTCTTTATTCAGAAGCTCTGTTTTTGATGCTTTCTCTCAAATAAATGGCTATGAGAGCCTCTAGTCCCCCATGGAAGTAGGAGCAGTCACTGAATAGGCTCTTTCTTCAGTCCTCATGAAATATGGCAATGAGGATGATAGGACAAAGAGATGGGCTGCACACACAGATTTAAAAGCTGTGGGAAGGGACACTCATAAAGGAGATGTGGTTATGTCTGACCTAAAGAATACATCCACAAATACTTGGAAAAGGTAAAATAGAATTACAAAATACATCAACCAGTACTGCATGGAGCTCTTATGCGAAAAGCAAGCGGTATGTGTGTCAAGCATTTGAAAGTAATAATCTTGTATGTGCTTATTCCTTTTTGGTGGCATAATGTATTACTACTTCAGTGCCATTTAAGGGGTTTTTTCTTTACCAGCTTCAGTCTCTCAATAAATGTGATGCCATTATAATACCATATAATCAGCCTAATTTGGCTACATGAGATTACTGAGAGCAGACAGATTCCTTGCACTGCTTTCACTCATGTTTGGTCATGAAGAAGAGAAAAGATGAGACGTATCTTTATTATCTGGACTACCAGGATAACTATTAGCATACTATGCCTGTCAAGTCAGAGGGCCTGACGCCTGAACATCTCCCTCTGAGCCCAGTCCTATAGAACCTATAGATCTCTAGGGAAAAATTGGAAGCCCGTGTTCATCACAGCTGGCATTTATCCAAAAAAGGATTAATTCCAGAATGAAATAAGACAATCATATCAGAATTCATCTGGTTATCAAAGTATGTCTTTTCATTGTTGCAACAATTCCAGGTAACATCAACTTGTCTAATTCTATAAGGTTTCCTTATCTACATTGCTTCTGTTCCATAAGTACAAAAATACTTTATGGTTGTTGTAAAAATCCATGTCTTACAGCTATGGAAAACTGTAGGCACAATTGCTTAACAGTATGTGAAAACTTAACTTAAATTTAAATCAGATTTCAATCCAAAATACAATGAAAATATCAAAAAGAATGTTTCAGTTGTATTCTAAAAATGTTAGCAATTATAGCCTTAAAAAGCACTTGCTCACCCAGCCAAACCTGTTTGAATCTGTGGAGAAAAATCCATTTTGTCCTTTGCTGCTGCTACATGATTTTTGTTGGTATCTGGTGTATGTGATGTGGCATAGCATATTACCTGATGATGGTGTCTCTGTGTGTCACCCTGCCTCCCTATATTTCTCTCTGGCATTTACTGTTTCCCTTTCTAACTATAAACATTCCCTTTTCCAGGGTCTGCAAATAATAGTGGTCTGATGCACCAGCAAAAAGTTTTTAATAAGAATTTCCATTTTTTTTGCTCCTTCTGTAACATAAAATGCCTGAGATTCAGAATCTAGCAAGTTGCCATCATGATGATAAGCATAATTATTTTTACTACTAAGAGTTAAAACCCAGCAGTCTGCATTGCCCTGTAATTTCAAGGACAGTAATTCACAGAAAGTCTCAGAATTAGCGTAAGGACAGCAAGTTACACATTCTGCAAACACAGTATCTAGTCACACATTGCAATGTTTTGCCAATTATTTCAGTACATCTTGAGTTCTTTCCCATGGTTCAACTGTCAGCCATGAACAAAATTCCTTTGCGAAGCAGTGTTGTAGTGGCCTTGCTTCCGCGCTTGGACGGAAAGCTAATTTATTTTGCAGTAACTTAGTAAACGGCTGTTCAAACCTCATTTTTAAAAGCACTTTCATTTTCATAGAAGGAGCCCCTCTGAAGAGTGGAAAAAGCATTGAGAGTACTGGGCAATGGTGTGCAGCCAATCAATCCTTCACTCATAGAAGCACTGTACTGTACTGTAAATTGTGCAATGCTCTGATACAAATAAACATTTTCAGGGCTGTTTTTTCTACACCTCCCCCTTAATCATTTTAACTATATTTTTATAATTGCACATCTTGACATGCCTGTATTCACATGCAAAAATATATATTAGTTGAGACAGAATATATGTGGGGATACATACATTTGTTCCTATCTTGCCTGCTCTGCTATCAGTTTTTTGACCAAAAATCCTGTGTTTGCCTGTAACACGTAAAGGCATAGGAAGGCACAGGCATATATGCAAGCCCCATCTCCAAAATCCACCCACCCCCAACTACTCTCAAGAGTACACTTTTAGATCTGCAATTAGATTTGTAAGCACATCCTACCCAGGTTCTGAAACCCTGGTAAGAATTCTCAATGGTGCTCAAGAGACTGCCACATTCTCTCCTCTGTTTATTTACATACCTAGCCCACCTTCCCTCCACTGAGTTCAAGGTGACACACATGGTTCTTCTCCATTTTATTCTCACAACTCAGTGAGGTAGTTCAGGCTGAGAATGGCTCACTCTGTTTAGTGGTCTACAACATGGATCTTGAAGTTCCAGTCTAACATCCTCCTAACCTCTCTACCACACAGTTTCACAGTACAGTGGTGCCCCGCATAGTGACGTTAATCCGTTCCTGGATTAACGTCACTATCCGGATTCGTCACTATGTGCGTGGGGGGGGAACCCCATAGGAACGCATTAAACTCCTATTGCGTTCCTATTGGGAAAAAACTCACCGCTATGCGGGGAATCCTCCATCCGGCCACCATTTTCGCCGGCCGGTAAGCGAGGGCAGGGCGCAAAAACGCTGCGGGCGGCCATTTTGTTGACCCGGCGGCCATTTTGGAACCGCCGATCAGCTGTTCCCAAAACATCACAATGCGAAGATCAGTAAGCAAAATGCTTACCGGTCATCGCGATGCGATGTTTTGCCTATTAAAACATTGCAATGTGATCGCATTAGCGATCGCAAAAAACGCGTCGCTATGTGGATTCGTTGTTAAACGGTGCACTCATTAAGCGAGGCACCACTGTATAGTAAGAACAGCTGTAATCCTCAGGTGTTCTGGACAGGAGCCTATATAAGGCTTAGTTCTGGGCACTGCTGCATAGATCAGTTGCTTCAGTTGATACATATTTGTTATCACTCTTGAACACATTCTCACCAAATACTTTGGTTCAAAAATCACTAAAACGGTGCATGAAGATTGCTCTCTCTCTCTCGCTCTCTCTCTCGTTTGCTCTTTTGTTCCAGTGAAGCACTACATCTGAATATTTCTTAAGGTAAAAAATGTTTGGCTCACCAAGTAGCTGCGTTTAAGGGAACAGATGTGTGTATAAAACATCAATGTTGGATTCCTTTGTTGTAGTAAATGAGCCTGTGGTTGAGCTCTTAGCAAAAAGCAGATGGTCATTTCTAAGCTGTTTGTTATTACAAGCTCATTCCACAATAGATACTCGACAAATGTACCAATAATTCTTTCTTTCTTTTTAATCACTTTAAACAGAGGTGCTTTGGAAGCTTATGTTCAGTCAGTAAGAAGCAGAGAAGGAAAAGAGTTTGCTCCTGTTTATCCCATAATGGTACAACTGCTGCAGAAAGCATCATCTACTCTTCAGTAAAATGTTTCTTAGAAGACCCTGGACATCCCACATCAATCAGCACACAGACAAAAGCACTGATCAGAATCAATGTAAATACTCTCTCAAAAATCCACCATATGCAGCTTTACTTGAATCAAATACCCTTTGCATTCTCTAGCGTTCCTTATTAGAAAACTTTTAAATGACATTCTAACATTACTATTTGAATACAGAAACCAAATATTGTTTGTATTGCGAAGGTATTTCTTCTGCCTATGGAAAAAAGCAACAGCCTAAACATGATTTTCATGTGAGCAAGACCTAATATTTGTGTATACGGCAGTTATAAATATGCTTTTCAACAACAAATCTAATTTGAAAGTGACTTTTATCATTTTTCGTATGATTTCAGTGTATACATAATAAAGCACTGCAATATTTTGATCTTGCATTTACTCTGTTGTATTATAATAGCAGATACTACACATTCTTACTTTTCAGGTGTCTCATCTGTCACACAGTTATACAGGTAGTGCTATTTGGTTTCAAGATTAACCTGATAGCTAATGTTTTACATTCATAAAATACACAACACTACATTTTACAATTTTATTTGAAATAATACATGAATACAATGTGCAAAATCATAAGAGCAACATCATGAAGACAGACATGTCAGGTGCTGAAATTTATAGTTGTGATTCTTAAACTGAAACACAGTTTACTTAGTAACATTAAAAGCTAGGTTGTAAATGTTCACAGCAAAAATAGCCATATTTCTAACATACCTGCTCTGCTTTTAGCTAGATGGAGGGAAAAAAGTAAAGTGCAAATGTTGCACCTACAGTAAGTGCAAAGTTTGTCCCCACCATAAAAGATGTCTTATGGCAAAATAAAATCTTTAAAATAATGCAGCATAGGAGACAAAAAAAATTAAAAATATAATGGTGACACCACAGAAGCACCATTTTGGGGAGATAATGCACTGCTACTAATAAAATTAATCCTGAGCTGTTCATAGCCCCAGCAGTTCTACAAGCCTTTTATTTTTATTGGGAAGTGATCACATCTCTAGTAAGTTATAAACGTGATACCCCTCCAGACAACAGTCTTGCTACATGTAGTATACACTATGCTAGCTGCTTTGACACACATTCTGGTAACTTGTTGGCACTGGGCAGTCTAGAAGTTCATACATTATGTCAGAAATTTCCAGCTCCCAGATTTGTAGTTAATTACATACTTTGTGCAATACATATTAATCAGCAATAAGAATCAATGTATAAACAGATGTTGCATGTTTTCAATTTCCCCTTTTTTGTGCATATTTTTAAAAAATAAACATTTATACAAAGCTCCTCTTCTTCCTACCATTCTTTAGCACCACAGGATATCCATTTTCAAGCTTATTACACCTGATAGACATATATGTAGTTTGGAAGAAAAATAAGGCAATTTGGTTTTAAAATGTTGATAGTTTTTAGCTTGCTCTAATGTAATACGCAAATCCTCATTCCTATTGACTCAATGCTGCCAGTATTTTATGGTCACACCTTCGCAACAAATCGTGAAACAATCAAGTCTTCTTCCACCACCAACTACTTCTAGAAGAATTCCAATTCAACGTTATTGTGAACCCTGTAAATAAAAAGCAGATTCTCAACATAGATTGAAAAGGAGAGCTACAATTTGTGCACAGAAATGTATTACTATAACTGGAACTATTTCATATATCCACAAAAGCCAATTGTAACTTTGCTGTAATTACTTACTTGAACAAAACCATTTGGGATTGCCTTCCTTCGAGGCAATCTTTGGGTCTCGACCCATATTAGGCAGAGACTTTGCCCTTCTGCATTCTGGAACTTTAAAGCAGCCAGCTCAAAATAGGACTGTTTTCTCACTCCATGACAGGAGAAACACTGTTCTTCTCTCAGGACAGAACCTGGCCAGAATGTACTTCACATGATAGTCTAGCTTAGTGAAGATTTTTAAATTGTCAGGAATTTGGTCTGCAGCTAATACTTCAGTGAGTTTATGCTGTAACCTGTTACTAAAAAAACATTTTATTTTGCCAGCCCCAGCTTCCATGGCATAAGGATCTGATGACAGTGTCAGTGGACTGAGGCCAGAAACATATATTAGATATACTCAGTGATTAGAAGAGAAAAATCCTTTACTAATGCAAGCCTCATATGTGTTAGAGCAAAAGCTCTTGCTATCTCTAGGAATATGGAAATTAGGTTCTGAAAACCAGTCATCAGACAAAGCAAGCTAAGCATGGTACTCCTTTGAAATCTCATTTCACAAACAGGGAAGGATCACACAAACCAACTCTCTGCTGGATTATCATGCTTCTACTTCAAATTATGGAATGAACTCAAAATTTTCTGATCAACTCCAAACCTATGCTAGAGTTCTGTACCGGTTCTGCAGCATTTTATTTTGTAGTGCGCGCACACACAAAACACTGTAGTTCAAACATCAAATCGGGCTTCCTAGTTAACATCCCAAAATCCAGCACTGTCCTCCAAATCAGTGCAATTGCTTTTTTAGTATTCTGGAATACAATCCTTGTATTTTGCAGCAAACCCCCTCACCCCGCCCCATAACTGGCATACCCAGTGCGGGGCTAAGTATCTCAAAATCAACACCGTCCATTTCACCCCCAAACTATGCCAAAATTTGATCAATTTTTTACATTGTACATGTGCAATTAACTAAAAATTGTATAATACCCTTTGTGCCATATAGCAATCAAATGGTTTCTAGACAATAGATATACATTTCCTTGGGCGCTGATACGCATTCATATTTTCAAAACTGGGTCTTACCACAAAGAAGAGAACAATGAAAATGCACAATAAAGGTGTTGCCTGTCTACAGATAGCTTCAGACATCCTATAGTACTGCAGGTATTCTTACTTGGAAACCTGCGTCATAAACTTTTTTCCCTCTTTCAATTTGTTGTTTAGTCACGTCTGACTCTTCGTGACCCCTGGACCAGAGCATGCCAGGCCCTCTTTCAATAAGTATGCATAAAAGCTTTAGAACAAGCACTTTATTTCTTACAAGTACACAAAATCAATGTGCATGTAAAAAACTGTCTTCACTTGTATCCTCTTTCTCTGCTTTCTTTTCCATCTATTTCTGCACCTGGACCTCTCTTTAGTTGACATGAGGAAACAGAGTTTCAATTAGTTCTTGCACATACACAAAATAAAATGTAAGAAACTGCGTATTCTTTTACCTTTTCTTTTTAGTTACACATACAGAAATGTACAACATATAGGACAACCATTGTTTAACTGTTTGTATATATACCATACTGTGTTTTTAATCATGTTACAGAGCTGCTTTTATTCATTGTGAGCTACCTGTGGTCTCCTTTAGGGAGAAGGAAAGCATATCAATCAATGAATGAAATGCTTAAGAACAATTCAATTTTAGCACAGGTTTTGAGTGAACTAGGCAATGCTACTTTTAAGGTGCTCCCTAGGTCCCCTACACTGGGTGTGCCAGTTTCACCCGTTTGGGAGGTGCTACAAAAATGCAGTTTATTCTGAAAAACTGTTGTTTGAGTATTCAAACCACTAATTCAGTTTCTGAATTACTGTTGGAGCAGAGAATGAGAGATCTGTGAAACAATCCAAAGATGGGTTTTCTTAATGTCTGCTCAAAATTTACTATAGCTAATTGTAAGTAGAATCACCACATTCTTGCCCCATCTCTGATGCCAACAGGGGCTGTAGCACTGAAAATCAAAGCTGAAACAACTTAGCCAAGATTGACCATTTCAGTATCCCAGTAGTATCTTGTGCACACATTATTGTACAGTAAGCTTGTAACAAAAGGAGCATGGTCACAATGCCTATAGAAAGAGAGTAACTTTGCTTCTAAATATGAGCCTAGAATTCACAGAATTGATCCTTCCACCACTCTTAGTAAGTTGCTTCTGCCAAGGAATACACCACTACATCACAATGCATTGTGAAAAATCATGAACAGAACATACTGAATTTGTTCGTTTCCGTTTCCAGCAGTCAGGATTTAAACGTTTTTGTTCTTCAGCCAAGGCCTTGGCTTCTAATGTGTATATCCGCCTTTCTTCATTTTTCATTTTCTTCCACCTGTCACCAAGTATCACACTTATGGCTCTACAAAAGAAATATTTAGAAAACATTGAACAAAATAATCCAATAAAATGCTAACATTTTTCAGTGTCCATTTCCCTTCTGGATGAAAGTACAGTAACAAAAATTAGATGTGAGCACTAAACAGTAAATGATACTGCATCCTTCTAAAGTTGTTATTTTAAAATGATTCCATGACACCATGATTACAGTAAATACAACATTCTTGGGTTTAACAATATAAAATATTAAATGCTTGTGTTTAATTGTTAAACAACAGTTAACAATATCATTTGAGGGTTTTTAAGTGCTCCAACAAAAATTGGAATGCTATTTTTGTGCAACAGTGAATGATAAAATGTTGAATAATAGAATGTTACAATCAAGTATTTCATCTTTCATCACTATGCCCTAATGCTTTCTGCAATGATAAATGTAATTATTACCTATTATGACTGCAATATGAAACATGCTATAGAACAGGTGAATAACAGTAAGGCAATTAGCTTTAAACAACATCTAGATGTAATATATTTTCTTTCAGTAATAAGGATGTACAAAGTACATTATATTTTTCCCAATTATACCTTCTGACATGGACCAAATCAATATGTTTTTGAAAGCTTACTTTGGTCAGAAGTTATGGATTTTGGAAAAAATTTGTACAGATTGCCAACAGGTATCTCAGCATGTTGATCTCAGCATGTTGAAAACATATGTAGTACCTTGATGAGGTTCTAAGAAGATCTCATTCACCCCAAATAAAAACACAATGTTTAGAGCAGTTAAGCATTTGTAATTTGCCACTAAGGTCTTATTTATGTTCTTGCTGGTGAAGTTCTTCACAATAAATTTGTTTGGCAAATGTATAATTGCCAAAGATAACAAACCACAGCCTTATTCGGGTATTAAGTGTGAAAGTGTGTAGGGCTGAAACTGTAGTGAGGGACAGGGCATATACGTAAGCCCCATCACTCTCTTCCACACCCTGCCTGAAGTCATACAGATCTTCACATATTCACCACAAAGGTCTGCAGCTCTCCTGACTTGACCTGCAGTATCTTGCCAGGAATATTTTGGAACTTTTGTGTTCTTCCCTTGCCTGAGCTCTCAGCGCCCAGCTTGATGTAGAGTCCTGCCAAATTCAAACACCTGTTTCTGATATTTCTGTAGTCTAATGAAGATAATGCCTACCCATATTTTGATGCTTGTAGAAAAATTAAATGGATTTTCCCTCTTTTTCCCCACATAAATTTATACTATGAACACCAGCAATTTTCCTACAAAAGGGGCGGTAGATTGCGCAGCGCATGTTTTGTGGCTTGTAGAAGTACCTCCTAATATTCTGCCTCTCCCTTGGATAGAGTGTGCTTGGAATTATAAACTGATACGGAAATAATTACTCTGAAAAGTATCAGGGCCCAAATCCAACATAACAGTAGCAAAGGAAACCATGTGCTAGCAGCTAGAAGATTCACATCCCCCTTCCAGCTGAGAAGCAGCTGTGCAATTGTCACAATCTCTAGGCAAGCTACTAATTGTGGTACCAAATGCAGTACAGTTGTATAACTAAAAACTGTACTGGGTTTCCTCAGCCTCACTGAGGCATTCGAGAATCCAGGTTGCCAACAGTTACAGGGAACACCTAGGCATCCCACACTCCACATGTGCTCACCAGGAAGGCTGAAGAACAGAACAAGGTGTCTGGGAGTACAATGTAATTGTAACCACCTAGCAGAATGACACATTGGAAATATGCTCAACATGAAATAAGACACACACTCTTTGGGGATACATTACTTTGCTAACTAAAAGTAAATACTCCCCTATCTAAAATATACATTTCTAAAATCAAAGTAGAAAAAACAGTTGGTGGAACTTATTTTTAATCACTGAAACATATAGCAGGTCTGGCTTATTACTGGCTGTCAATAGTGTGCCTAACATATGTATGTATGTATGTATGTATGTATGTATGTATGTATGTATGTATGTATGTATGTATGTATGTATGTATGTATGTATGTATGTATGTATGTATGTATGTATGTATGTAGGGTGCAGTGGAGGGCCTGGTGTGCTCTGGTCCATGGGGTCACAAAGACTCGGACATGACTTAACAACTAAACAACAACGTAGGTAGGTAGGTAGGTAGGTAGGTAGGTAGGTAGGTAGGTGTATTTAATTTATATCCCATCCATCTAGACCAAAGTCTACTGTGAGCAGCTAACAACAATCCATAAAATAATAAAAATATAAAATAAAGCAACATTAGTATAATTCAAGACGGCAAGAAATAGATTAGATGACAGGAGGGACAGCCTGCCTAAAGAGCCAGGTCTTAAGTTTGCTCTTAAAAGCACCCAGCGAGGGAGTCAGACAAATTTCTCGGGGCAGACTGTTCCAGAGGCGAGGGGCCACTGCTGAGAAGGCCTGGTTTCTTGTTCTTTCTCTCCATGCCCCCCCCGGCGTTAGGCCCCTTAGCCACCCATCCTGGCTAGAACGAGTGATTTGGGTAGATCTGGGTAGAAGGCGTTCCGCTAGATATTGAGATCCTAAGCTGTTTAGGACTTTATATGTCATCATTAGTACTTTGAAATCAATGTGGAAACGAATGGGCAGTCAAAGCAGGGCAGCCAGAGTAGGGGAGATATGTTGGTGTTTACTCACCCCAGTAAGAAGTCTGGCTGCTGCATTCTGCACCATTTGAAGCTTCTGCATCAGGCTCAAAGGTAGCCCCATGTAGAGCACATTACAGTAGTCTAATCACGAGACTACAAGCGCATGGACCAGAATGGTGAGAATAGTTTTTGGAAGTTATAGCACAAATCATAATTTTGTTCTCTCCTGCTCTCTTGTTCTACCAGTAAAAATGCAGGTAAAACTCAAATGAAATCCACAGATTTAGTAAGCGGCAGTGTGCACTGGTTCAAATATAATGTTCCTCATCATGATTTGTTGGAACTAACAAGGAACACCATCTTCCTCCTCCAGAAGAGATTTCCTAATTCTTTAACACCAATTTTCCTAAAGATCCAAATTGGGAAACCATGTTTTAAGTACTTCTGACAGACCAAGAGCACTAGTCGGAGTTGGTGCATAAGGCCTGCAGGGAAATGTTGCTACTGTTTGCTGAACAAGGAACGCCCCATCAGAGCCATGCAGCCAAGAAATATGTAGATTACCCTCTCTGAATTATTTTCAAAAGCATACAGCACCTATTCGTATAGGTTTCAGGTGAACATAACAAAAAATACTTTAAAAATAAATAAATCATAATTTATCATGCCAACAAAACACAGACTGTCATCTATAGATTAACTCTTCACCATTCATTCATTCATTCATTCATTCATTCATTCATTCATTCATTCATTCATTCATTCATTCATTTAAAATAATGTAAATTAGAAACTCTAATAATAATTTACCTGTTATCTTTTCCTGGATACATCTGAGTATATTCTACTCTGTACTTTTTGGCAAAAAGCATGAAGGCATTCATTGGTCTTTTGCATTTGTTGGGAGAGTTGGGACTCACAGTACTTGCAGTCCCTGAGCTGTGGCTTTTGCCATTCATTCATTCATTCATTTAAAATAATGTAAATTAGAAACTCTAATAATAATTTACCTGTTATCTTTTCCTGGATACATCTGAGTATATTCTACTCTGTACTTTTTGGCAAAAAGCATGAAGGCATTCATTGGTCTTTTGCATTTGTTGGGAGAGTTGGGACTCACAGTACTTGCAGTCCCTGAGCTGTGGCTTTTGCCAGCTTTACTATACAAAGAACTGGATGAAATCTGTGATGACTGAGCAGGCCCACAGTTTGTAATGCATTCTGATTTTTCAAAGTCTTGGCTTCCTGATCCTCCACAAGATAAAGAAGCACGACGCTGGCGAGCCATACTGCTTAACACATAGACGGCAGAGGAATCCATTGGTGTAAAATCAAAACTGAAATGCAGAAACCAATTTAGTATATAAATCAGAAGCACTGCTTTTCAACAGTAGATGTTCTCTCAAATAATATCTATCTTAGGCTAAATCCAACCTTTGTTCTAGAACAACCCACTAAAATGAGTGGAATTTGTCAATCACAGCCAGAACTTAAAAGTAACAATTTACATCATACTTGTGAGAAACAACAAGTTCCGTTCGGTGGTAACGAGTGCTGAGCGCAGTTCCTTTTTTAATGCACAATGTGGCCCAGGAACATTACTTTATCCTTTAAGTGCAGTGATCCCCAACCTTTTCCAAACCAGGGACTTTGGTTTGGTTTGGTTTTTTAATTTCCCCCTTCTCCCTCTGTGTTTCTGAGGGTGTGTTTTCTTAAACTAATTGATGATGGATTGCCTGCCTTGCCCCTGCTTTTTTGATACTTTTTCAATAAAGAATTGATTCTTTATTGCCTCACTTACTCTGCTTTTTTTGTAGTACTTTAAGTGTTTACGGATTCTGGACAAGTGCAAGGCAATAGGGGGAAATGCTACAAAAGAACCTGAAACAGTACCTCCTTTTGTGTTTACCTAAAGGACCAGTACCACAGAGACCTGAAAACAAAGGAGGCTCCCCCTGAAAGAACCCAAAACAAATGTTATCCCAAAGTTCTCCTCCTGGATATCCCTGGCTCCTGCCTACGTTACCCCTCCCCAATGACTTTATTAATACAGAAACTCCAAGCTGGGTAGGACACATGAAACTTCTATATCCAGTTAACAGCACTCCAGCAAGCTTCACAGCAGCATTCCCGCTTTAATTTCTAGATACACAGTGTCAAGGAACTATGATAGTGCAGCACACAAGGAACTGAAGGGTGTTCTGGTGCAGTAGTAGTAAATAATAATGGTAATGCAAATGTAATGCGTAATATAAGAAGTTACATTACATGTATTTATTTTATTTATTTATTTATTGGACTTATATACTGCCCCATAGCGCTACAAGCACTCTCCGGGCGGTTTACAATTTTTTTTTTTAATTATACAGGCTACACATTGCCCCACTGGAAGTGTGGACAGCAGACAAAGAGAAATGGCATGTGTTCACTTTTTCAAAGTACATTCTAAACTGTGATCATAACTAACAAATTCCAGTGATTTCAGTGGGTCTACTGTAAGTTGGGCTAACGTTGGTTTCAGCCTAATGTTACAGTTCATTTGATCTTGATAACATCCAGTATATCAATGTAGAGATAAACACATTTCCTGTGCACGTAACACTCTGCCAGTGTTTTATCAGGCTCTCACTGCAGCACAACTGAAAAAATTAATCTTGCTGGTTATTTTCCTGATTCTCTATTATTTTTTCCTTCAGATGCAAGTAGTATGACTTGAGAAACAGTGGTTTTAGACTTATCACCTCAAATCAGTGATACCTACCACATACGGGAATTTTTAAAAGTCCATATCTTGGGTTGAAGCAAGATTTCCCCCATGGCTATTGATTCGTAAGGGCCGTGAGTTTAAAGTTAGAGTGTAATGGCCCAGGCAGGCAATCAAGAGTCAACTTATCCGAATTCATTCTCTGAATTAACAGTTCATTTCTAAGCTATGAAGCAAATTATATTTGAAACCCTAATTACTGAAGGAACAGAAAATCAAAAAGAGTGATGTGAGGAAACAAATGAAACATTTGTATACTCTCAGTAGAAGCGCCATATGTAATACCTCAATATAACTCAGAAAGTATGATAAAGGGGAAGATTTCAGTACAACTTTCTGAAGCTAGGTTAATAGTCTGTCATTTGTAAAACTGTATCTGAAGAACAAAGCTACGCCATTTACAGAAGTTAGTTTTTAAAAGGGCTTCAGTCTAAGTAACACTTATTTACTCTGCTTGATAATCTTCCACCCCCTAGTGGAAGAATCCTGGTAGTTCTACAATTTTGTATTGAAACAGGTAAAGTTGGGATCTTCACCTGTACCTCAGTTACAGAAGTTAAATGGCTATAGTGCTGTTGATATAATCTTTCTATGATATCAAAAAACAATACCTAACATCTTATTTAAAATGTATTATCATGCTCCAACTGCGTTTAAAAAATTCTAATGGTTTACTTTTATTTTTCTTGGGACTGTCTTTTTTTAAAAAAGCTGTCCAGTCAAAGCTGAAATATCAAAGGGAGTGAAAACAGAAAAGAAAATAGCTATTTTGTGTGTTTTATTAACAAAAGCTGGAAACTCCATCTAGATGAAACTAAGGGATGCTAGGAAGGGATAAGTAGTTTTATATTTGATGTTCTCCAAATATTACCTTTTGAACGTATCAAAAACGCCTGAATCATCAAAATTAATTGCATCAGGGTGTCCAGGAGGTAGGCATATGTCTCCAATATGCATTTCACAGCATGGAATACCATGCTGAACCACAGTCAGGCTCGGATAGAAAGATGACCAACCTGAATGAAAAAAGTAATGATATAACTTAAGCACTTTACATTTGGATATGAAACACAAAGAACCTACCGAAATGCTTGCAAGTGACACCTCATGTTGACCAAAAAGAAAGGAAAAGTTCAATATTTTTCCCCAGTATGTGATGTAAAATTGTGTCACTTTTTAAAATCTATCATTACAATTCCTTGGAAACCTCATTATCTTATACAGGCAAAACAAAAGGAAAAAAGAATATTATAGCACTTTCATGTATGTTGGTTCAAAAAACTTCAAACTGAAATACAGTGGTGCCTCGCATAGTGAACGCCCCGTTTAACGACAAATCTGCATAGTGATTCATTTTTTGCGATCGCAAAAGCGATCGCAT